TATTAGTGGTAGTAGTAGTCGCCGTAGTAGTAGCACTAGTACTAGTAGCCGTAGTCGTCGACATAAGAATGGTAAGCATACTCGTCGTAGTAGAAGCCGTACAAGTAATAGTAGGATGTATTATGTAGAATGTACGACTCAACATCCAAATCTTGTGAACATTCTTAGATCTCACCCTGGCGATAATTAAGTTCGGCCTCGCCCGCCCATCCCCGACCAACTTTGTTTCGAACCCGGATAATCAACACTCAAGGGTTAAGGGGGGTGCTGTATGATCGCGGGCACGGAGTTCAACCGAGAATCTCTGAAACCCAACAACTCTGGAGGATGTCTCGGGCGTCGCGGCCTTCCCGGAGCGTTCCAGAACGCTCTGAGAAGGTTCTGGAAAGCTCTGGAACTGATCTATACTCGCCCTAGCTCCATCCAAGGGGGTTTGTGGGAAGCACAATGTCGGAGTTCTGGAGGCTGTTAGATGGAACTCCTGAAAGGTATTCGTCACAACGGTTGCACCCTTGCTTCGAATTAGGAAAAATCGAGGCTACGACAACAAACCTCGCTCTAAGCGTCTCCCTAAGCAGTGGTCCAGGTTCAGATGTACGAACATGCGACGCAAAGAAGATCCACAAAAACGTCCAGGGTCCAGCTAAGATTCTTAACCCCACCAGCCCTCTGGGCGTCGGTGGTTTAGGGAGTTTCCTCGTTCACCCCTCCTTATTCCCCTTCGGGGAAGGGTTTCCCCCTCCCCCTACCCCCTCCCCATGGACCTGGACAAAAGGTTTCGCGACATGTCCGAGCGTCCAAAACGGCCTCGGCGAGGAAGCCAAAATCATTGGTTGTATTAGGGTTTCGGCCCCATTTTGGCCTCCTGAGGGGGGGGGGCCCTAATTAGTGCCCTCCCCTCCTGCGACTGATCTTACCCAAGATGGCCCAAAGATGGCCCCCAAGGCTCCCGAGGGTGCCCCAAGAGGTGGCCAGGAAGCCCCAAGCGGCCCCCAAGATGCCCCCAAGAGGCTCCCAAGAGACCCCCAAGAGGCCCCAAGAGACCCCCCAGAGGCACCCAAGATGCTCCAAGAGGCCTCGGCGAGAATGCCAAATCTTTGATTTCCCTAAGGTTTTAGCCACATGTTGGCCTCTTGGGGGGGGCACTGATTAAGATGACTCCAAGAGCGCCTGGGAGAGCCCAAGATGACCTCCAAGGTGGCTCAAGATATCCCAAAATTTCTCATAATGGCTCCCACGATGCTCCAAGATGCCCCAAGACCGCTCCAAGACGGCTCCCAGTGGCCAAAGAGCTCCCCCAGGAGGCCCCGAAGAGGCCAAAACCTGCGGAAATTCTATGTGTTTAGCTTTCTCGCCTTTTCGCTTCCGATGGCCATCCGAGGCCTCAAGATGGCTCCAAGATGGCACAAGAGGGCTCCAAGAAAGGCTCCAGAGAGCCCCAAGACGGCCCCAAGAGCGCCTAAGAGCGCTCCAAGAGCGCCCCAAGAGCGCCCCACGAGGCGATTGTTTGGGCTCCCGAGGGACAACGCTAACTAATGCTCGCTTCTTGTTTGATCGATGTCCCCCAAGATGGCCCCAAGAGCGCTCCCAAGGCTCCCAAGAGCGCTTCAAGAGGGCCCCAAGAGGCGCCCAGGAGGCCCCAAGAGGCGCCCAAGAGGCCTCCAAGATGCTCCCAAGAGACCCCCAAGAGGCCCCAAGAAGCTCTCCGAGGCACCCAAGACGCTCCAAGAGGCCTCCACTGGGGGACTGATCGAGGCAATTCCTCTGGGCATCGTTTCTGAATGGGCTGGTGGGGTTACGCGAAGCGTCTAGAATTTCCTTACGCGACTTCTAGAGCCCATGAACATGTATTGTTCTGGAGACTTTTGATGGGTGGAAGGGCGATTAAGCGGGAAGAAGGGGCCATTCAGCCGGATCAGCCCAGATTGAATCCAGGAGCGCGCCGGATTCAGCGGGGTGAAGCCGAAATAAACGCACTGTGCCAGAATGAACTGGTTTTCAACCACGGATATACCAGCACCGATGCTGAAGTGAACCTTCCGGGACTTGCATCGCAATCTTAAAGACACGACAAAACGGCATAAACATCCGCCACCGTGCCACCAGGCACAGGCAAGGCCTGTCCTCAGGTCCATTGCCTCATCCCCTTAGCCTCAACCCTCGATCCTGAGGTTTCTTAAGGGGCCCGGTCCCCGAATTCATATATCTCCATGGGCTTGCCGCATTTCCCCTGAAGTTCCCGGAATCTTCCCGCGTGAGTTTGTGGAACCCAAGAAGGCTCCAAGACGGGCCAAGAGAGCTTCGAAAAATTCCCAAGATGATCCAATTGGGCCTCGAGACGCCATCATGTCGCTCCAAGACGCCCAAGATGGCCTCAACACGGCCCAAGGGCCCCCCCCCAAGAGGCCCCCAAAACACCCGCACCAAGAGGCAACTACAAACATTGGTTTACCTTCAGCTTTGGAAGGGTTCTTCGCCTTCTGGCCTTCGGCTTCCCGACGCTCCAACACGGCCCACGAGGCCCCCAACATCGCCCTAAAGGCGGCCGCAGAGGCCCCCAAGAGGGCCCCGAGACGGCCCAGGAGAGCCCCAAGACGGGCCAACAGGCGCCCAAGACGACCCGAGAGGGCCCCAAGAGGGGGCCCAGAGGGGGAACCCGAACGGACATTTCGAGCTCTCGGCCCCGAGGTGCCCCCAGGACGGCCCCAAGGCACCCAAGAGGCTCCCAAGAGACGCTAAGCGGCCCCCAAGAGGCCCCAAGAGGCCACAAAGAGGCCCCCAGGAGGGCCCAAAACTTTTCCCAAGAGGCCCCCGAGAGCGCCCCGGAGAGGCTTGAAGACGCGTTCCTGAGCATCCTGACCCACAACCGAGGCACGGAGGCGGGATGGGCCCAAGGTCATTCGATCCGCCGCCCCCTGCTGATTTATCACAAGGGTGCCTGGCGCGCTAGATTCCTTACGGTTCTTGGGCTTTGGTTCTTCTCCCAACGAACTCACCTTGGGGCTTGGGCCCGCCCCGCCGGCCACCCGGAAGGACCCAGAAAGCTCCGGGCGGGGCGGTTCCCAAGGTTGCTCCTACTCCAGACGGCTCCAAGATGGCCTCCAAGACGGCCAAGATGGCCTCCAAGTTCGCCCACGGTGGTCAAAGATAGTCCCCAAGACGGCCCGGTCCAAGATGCCTCCAAGTTCGCCCAAGAAGCCTTCAAGACGGCCCAAGACAGCCCCCAAGAGGCCTCGAAGAGATCCTACAGGAGGGCCCGAACAGGCCAAAATTATTATTATTATTATTTTTCCGCGGGCTTTTGAAGGATGTTTGCATTTGCGTCTTTGCGGCATTGCGACGGCCCGAAACGGTCCAAGAGCCTCCAAGCATTGCCCCAAGACCGCCCAAGAGGCCTCCAAGATAGCTCCCGGACGGCCCAAGAAGCCCCGGACGGCTCCAAGATGGCCCCAAGACGGCCCAAGAGGCCTCCAAGACGCCCTAGATGGTCTCCAAGACGGCTCTGGAGCACCCCAAGAGGGTCCCAAGTCGGCCCAGAAAGGCGGCTTCCGACGGCGCCAGACGGGCCAGGAGGCCATCAAGACGGCCCAAGATGGCTCCAAGAAGGCCCAAGACGGCCCAAGAGGCCCCCAAGAGGTCGCCAAGACGGCCAACGAGGCCCCCAAGAGAGCTTCCAGGAAGGCCTGAAGAGGCCCAAATCATTGATTGTCCTGAGGTTGTTATGGTTTTGGCATTTGCTTCTTTTCGGCCTTCCGACGGCCCGAGACGGCCAAAGAGCCCCCAAAGATCGCCCCAAGATCGCCCAAGAGGCCTCCAAGATGATTCCAGAACGGCCCAAGAGACCCCCAACAGGGCCCCAAGATGGCCCAAAGATGGCCCAAGGATGGCCCAAGAGGCTTCAAAGACGCCCTGGATGGCCTCCAAGACGGCCCTTCAGAACCCCAAGAGGGGCCCCAAGTCGGCCCAGAGAGGCCCTCAAGATGGCTTCCGACGGCGTCAGACGGGCCAGGAATGCCGTAAGACGACCAAAGAAGCCCCCGAGAAGCCCCCAAAGGCCCCCAAAAGGCTCCCCAAAGGCCCAAGGAGGCCCCTAAACTCCAAGAGGCTCCCAAAAAACTCCCAGGAGGCCCCAAGAGTGCCCCCAGAGGCTCCCAAGATGCCCCCTCCTCCTCCTCCTCCTCCTCCTCCTCCTCCTCCTCCTCCTCCTCCTCCTCCTCCTCCTCCTCCTGATCTTCCCCGCCATCCTCGCCCAAGTGTTCCCCAAAGCGTTTCTACAACGGCTGGGGGAGTACATGGCCCGACAGCTTGGCAGAGCTCTTTCCACAACGCTCGGCCAAATGGGCGATTCCAAAAGGCAGGGGGCAGCGGTGATTCGCCGTAGGCGTCTTCGATCATTTTTCGGAGGTCCGCGCTGATTTCTTGGATCGGCGCTGGGCCCCCCCCTAGCGCTCGGAGCGCGCCAGGGGCGGCTCTGGAGGCGGCGCCAGAGGGACCCAGCGCCGATGCAAGAAATCCGCGCGGTCCTCCGAGAAAGTATGTTCATGCCGTGTTCTGTTCTTCGGAATCTGCGGGCCACAGCGGAGACTGACTGCAAGCCTCGGTCGCGGTGATGTCGTCCGCGCCGCTGGCCTGGTGGGAGCGCTTCGCGCGCTGCGCAATCAGCAACAGCCTGCAGAATTGCACGATGATGCGCGCCATCACCAGCGACTGGCTCAGCTCTACGTCCTCCTCTCACGGGCCCCCCGGAACCGTGCGGTGACGGACCGTGCGGTGACCTCGGCATCCCCAACGCTCTCAGCGCACGCTCCGTCACCACGAAGTGTTGGGCCCTCGGGGGCCCCGGTCGCCCCGATAGGTCCTCGGAGAACGACCCGAGCTCCGGAAACGTCCTCTGAGAGCAGCCCGAGCCCCAAGACCGTACGGGGCGACCCCCCAGACATTCGACGTGCTGTTTTTTCCCATGCGTGGTCCCCAGATGTTCTGGCCCCCCTGCCCAGGAC